GGCACGGGGCAGGCAACAGAACCTACCATAAATATGTCTTAAAAACCAGAGGAAACTATATTTTTAAAAGATGAAGGAAAGTATGACAATGATGACTCATGAAGTCAAGAATGTTAATAAGGAAATGGAAATCATTTTTAAAAGACCAAACGAAGATTGTGGAGTTGAAAAGTATCACAAGAAAGGGAAGGAGCAGAGAGAAAAAATATTCATAGAAATAATGCCTGAAAACTTCCCAAATTTGTTTTTTTGTTTTTTTTAAATATATTTTATTGATTTTTTACAGAGAGGAAGGGAGAGGGATAGAGAGTTAGAAACATCGATGAGAGAGAAACATCGATCAGCCGCCTCCTGCACATCTCCTACTGGGGATGTGCCCGCAACCCAGGCACATGCCCTTGACCGGAATCGAACCCGGGACCCTTCAGTCCGCAGGCCGAAGCTCTATCCACTGAGCCAAACCAGTCTCGGCCCAAATTTGGTTTTTTTAAAAGCCCCGCTGGTGTGGCTCAGTGGTTGACCATCGACTTATGAACCAGGAGGTCACAGTTCGATTCCCCATCAGGCACATGCCCCGGTTGTGGACTCACTCCCCAGTAGGGGGCGTGCAGGAGGCAGCCGACAGACGTTCCGCTCTCATGGATGTTTCTATCTCTTTATCCCTCTCCCTTCCTCTCTCTCTAAAATTAAACAAACAAACAAAATGACAACATACCAGTTCACACACACAATCAATTTTGGCTTCAATGTGGACATTTAATCCCTCGGGCACCGCGGGTGGGAAAGTCGTGGGCAGCTGCTCTGAAAAATACGTGGGCCTTTCCTCAAACAAATGTAAACTAAAGCTGCCATATAACTCAGCATTATACCCCTAGGACCCTCTCAAGGGAAACGAGGCCCTCTCCACGCGGGAACCTGCCCAGGAATGCTCGTGGCAGCATCGTTCACAAGAGCCAAAGGCGGAGACAGCCCAGATGCCCAGGAACCGATGAACGGACCGACCCAACGCAGCATCTCCGGACAACGGAAGAACGCGGGGTGGAGCCCTGCGAAGTGACAGCAGCCAGCCACCGGGACCCCACACATCCCAGAGCCTCATTGACCCCGGTGTCCAGGACCCGCAAATCCACGGACACGGGACCGGGCGGGCGGTTGCCTCCCGCTGGGCGGGGAAGGAGGAGCGTTCGGGCAGGGGGCGCCCGCTCATGGGCATGAGGTTTCTCTGGATAAAATGTTTTAGGATTAGATTTAGGGGATGGTGGCACTGCCCTGTAAATCCCCTGCACAACCCAGGTATCCGGCTGAAACCCACGGGCCCGACACTTGGTGTTGGACTAGGCAGTAGGCACGTTATACCTCAACCAGCCTGTGGGGAAAAGTCACAGAGAGCCCGCTCAGAGAAGACGGGGCCTGCAGGGGCCTGAGTGCAGTGCCCTCACCACCCCCACAAGCTGACTTCTAGGGAGTTGGACTTCGTTTCCTGTGACCCCAACATGCCTCTAAGGCAGGGTGGGGACCCTTCTTCCTGCCAAGGGCCATTGGATATGCTTTTAAAAATATATTTTTATTGATTTCAGAGAGGAAGGGAGAGAGAGCGAAACATCAGTGATGAGAGAGAATCATGGATCGGCTGCCTCCTGCACATTTCACCCTGGGGATGGAGAGCAGAGGGAATCTGAGGGTGACACTTCCCAAGAATTCCAATCCTGGAGCGATCCCAAGGCACCCTCACCCTGAAGAGCAGACTCCAGGTGGGCAGCGTCTGTGGGGTCTGATTGCCCTCCTCCCCGTGCAAAACCCGGTTTTGCCCCCATTTGCAACTCAGCTCCGTTGGTC